ATTTTTCTGTTATTTACATTGACCTTCACCTGGGCCTGTCTCACCTTTTTGTACAGTAATTAAACAGTCTCATTAATATTCAGTCCTGTGCTTATTAGAATATATTTCGAATACAAAAGTTGAAATTGATTATGTTTAAAAGAGGGGGTGGGGAAGCTTTATGGGTTTTGCTATACATACCTGAATTTATTGCTATCAGGGAACCTGCAAAATAGGTTTATTTATTTTCTTAATTTTAAGTCTCTGAAGTACTGAGGGAAAAGAGTATCAAGTGGCTTTGGGTAGTTAGAGTTTGGGCACAAAACCAATTGAATTGAGCCTTGACTTTGAACTGGATGATAAGTGAAGTAGTTGGAACTTTGTCTGATCCATTCTGGTGATGAGTGGTTGTGGCTATATCCAGTATTTCAATGGCATCCTGTGTCCTGTCATGTCGATAGTGCAAACTGTGATGTTTATTGACACGGTGGTGGCCCTGGTGGGTGTCTTCACTAGCTCAGTTCTATGGCATAGATTTTGGAGTTGGTCCTAGTTGTACAGCTTCTATGCCAGGTTCTGTTGTCCTTCCTGAGGGTTTGGAAGCTACTTGGTACACTTTCAGTAAATTCCTTTCCGCTTAAATCAACCATAGTCAGTTTCTGTTACCTCATTCCTTGAACATACCACATGCAATCCTGCGTCAATGTCTTCCCCTTGTCCATTTTCTCTTTTTTTTAATGAGATGGCTTTTTTTTAATCTAATTTTATCAGAAAGTATATCTCATTTAAAAAAGCATTATGACAGTTGTTTCTCTTTTTCTCTCATTTTTCAGTCTTATTTTTTTATCATGGAAATTTTCAAATGTACACAAAATTAGAAAGAGTGAGTAGAAACTTCCATAACACATTATCCAGTTTCGACATTTTACTCTAACAGATAAAAACTTCAAAAAAATAAGATAAACACAATACTACTATCACATTTAATAAAATAACCAATAATTCTTCAATATCATCCAATTCCAGTTCGTGTTCATACACTTTCAGTTTTCTTCAAAATGTTTTGACAATTGTTTTGTTCAAACCAGGCTCCAGATAAAGTCTATGTAATGTATTTGAGTGCTATCCCTTTCGTTTCCAGCTTATTTTTAAATTAAGATATAATTTACATAATCTAATGTGTCTCTTAAATCTTTAAAATTCTATAGCAATTCCTCCTTCTCCTTTATTTCATGCTATTTATTTTTTGAAGAATTTCTCAATGTCTTGTAGAATTTCTCAATTTCTGGGTTTGTCTAAATGAATCCTTGTAATGTTATTTTCGTGTTCCTCTCTTCTTTATCCCTATAAATTGGTGATTAGATCTAGTGGCCCAATTAAATTTAATTCTTATATTTTATACTCTGGATTTTTCTTTTTCCTTTTTTTTAGGTCTAGCTCAATCACGTTTCCTCCAAGAAATCTTCACCTCATCACCATTCCTTCTCTCAGTGGTTGCTCCTTTCTCAGACACTTACACCATTTACCTATCACTCTATTTACCTATGAAATAATTTTTATTCCTATTCCTAAAAAGGCCGGGACCATGCCCTGAGTGAACGGACCATATATGGCTTAGCACTGCTATTTCCCCCATATCTAGTACATAATGTGGCTGGCTTCATAAATAGTCGTTGAGCTAAATGGATATGAAAGTACAAATCCTACACCAATTATCTGCTGCTTAGCACTTGCTGCCTTAAGTGCAGTTTCTCAATGTGTTATAAGCTTTGACTCAACTCCTGGACTGGGAATCTCTTGAGAGCAGGGAGAAAGTCAAATTAATTCTTGTAGCGTAGGTATCAAACACAATGCCATATTCATAACTAGTTCATGTTCATTCATATTATAATGGAAACTGTTGTCTATCTCTCCTTTAAGGACTTTTATGAGCTCAAATAAGAGGTACATGTGATAAGTATTTGCAAAAAGGTAAAATAGTTCATAAATATAGTCATATTATTAGTGACCATAATTGTGATCTCTGATCATTGCTTTTGTGCTTTTAATAGGCACAGTCCTTGTTCGAAATGTATGGAGATGTTGACTTTAAATCACCTTTTTAAAAAAGTTGTACTTACTCCTAGGGTTAATTCATTAATGAAGAAGAATTATAGGAGAAATATATCGGGTGGCCAACTTTTCATTATGGGGGTTAATGGTATGGCCATCCATAGAAAATTTTCCACCTAAAAAAATGAAAGATTTTTAGAGCGATTACTCAAAGCTCTTTTAGTTGTTAAGTGACGAAAGCCTAAACCAAAATAGTTCCAGCAAAAAAAAAAAAAAAAAAAAAAGAAATTGGTTCACATATCTGGAAAATCTAAGAATATCATCTCTCTGATTGTTGATCTTATTATCTATCATTTTTGATCAGCCTCCTATGTGGCTGTGAGTAATTAGCTCTAAGTTTTCTTCTGTCCAGCACCATGCTTCCAAAATCAGACAGTCTTCCCCAGTTGCCCTAGCAGAAAAGTTCGAAGGAGGATTTCTAGTTATTTTAGGGTCCTGTGTCCATCCCTAAAGAAATCACTGTGGCTGAGAAAATGTTGCCCACTGATTGGTCAGGATAAGGTCATACACTCATTCCCTTTGCGTAGCAGATGGCAGTGTAATCAATAACCTGGGTATATGTAATGGAAAAGAATTTCCTCTAAACCAACAGTAAAATGAGACCAGAAGAAAAGATGTAGGGGAAAAAATAGCAGCTATCTGTGTGTGCTTCAGGGCAATCTCAGCTCAGAGCTCTGCACCCTAGGTATCTCTCTGCAAGGTGCACTAAGTTGGAGGCAACTTCAGGAGTCTTAGCTTTTTTTGACATTTTTTTTTTCCCCTGTCAGGTTTGGTCCCTTAGGTCTAGAAGGTCTCTGTTTGATATAACAAATGACACAATGATTGTTTCATTATAGTTCTAACGGGTTATAAACTGTGTTTCTAAAATGAAGTCACTGATAGACTTCAAAGGGTCAACAGATTATGCGCAGAATCTTATTTACATCTATATTTTCTGGGGAGAGAGTCCATAGCTTTCCTTTGATTAAAAAGCTCCTATTGAACCAAAAGATTAAGAAGGCTCCAATGTTTCACAGCATGGGAACCACTGATATTTGAACAACAAAGTTCGTCACTATACAAAATGAATAGCATCTCTGATCTATACTCCTTAAATGTCTGTAATATTCCCAAGTCATTAAGAAAATCAACCCTTTCTCCTACATTTCAATCACCAAAAGCTGAGAATCAAGATGAGACTAGGAGTCTAGGCTGAATGTTCTCTTTGTGTTTTAACTTTCTTCTTCAATCTGGCAGAGAATAAAACATCTTTACACTTTTAACATCTAATTTCTAACAATCCATGTATTATGGAATCTGGGACCTCACATTCATGAGCACAAAAAGCCCAGTTTCCTTAGGATTGCTCAGATATTTTGCCATATTTTAATGGTATAGTGAAGGACCTAAAAGTAGTATTTTGGGGAGTAAATTTTATTGTGGGATTTTGGCAACTGCTACTATAACACAGTCTACCTCCTGCATTTCCCCCCAAATCTCCTTGAGATCCTCAACTCTAAAACAGACCCATTCTACTTAAGATCTTTTCTGATGTGAAATTAAAATATTTCATCTTAAGGCAAAATGGACAGCTCCTAGGAAATGCCTACTCATTAGTCTAGCCTCCTTAGAGTTTTCTTCTAGGATGATCATTTAGTTTATAAAGTCTGAAAGGACAAACTCACAGATGAAATGTTAGTCTGAAAGGAGTATCTTCACGATCTAATAAAAGAATGACCACTGAGCAGCACTTTTATAGGTCACAAATCACTTCCTCCTGTATTTGACCATAAACATCTTCTAAAACAAGTTTGCCAATCTGCTCTTTTAGAGACGAAGAAGTTGAGGTTTCTAGAAATCAAGTGACATACCCAAGATTACACAGCACTTTAGAGAAGGACTCAGGATTTCAACTCTGGGTTTTACGACTTTAAAAGCGACCCTTTAACTCTCTACTGCCTCCCAGTGCCTCAGGACACTTTTAAAAGAAGGAATATGGGGAATGATTGAAAGCAAAAATGAGCCATAACTGAGCCTGTTATTCTGTTACTTAAGTGAGTGCCGGGAAGCTCAGGCTTGGGGGTTGACACTTGTACAGTTTATTGCTCCACAATTTCACTCCTGAAATGTTAGGACAATCTCGTTTGAACTCTCAGCCAACTGAGAAATTAAAAACAGACAGTGACTACGCTGTTTTGTTACTTTGTGTCTTTTTAAACTAACAGAAACTTCCAAGTGCTGCTTTAGATTAGAAATGGCTAATTGGATAAAGGAGAAAGAGCCTCTCACCTTGATGAATGGTATTCCAAAAGCTCAGACTGAATTATAGAAAAGGAACAAACAAGAACACTTTCTACAATGTTTTCATTACAAAGTGTAAGGAAGTTCCTTCACTCTGTTTCAATCCGAGGACACGTTGATTTGTTGCAGCAGGTCTGGGAAGCTTGCAGGCTGATAGGAAGTCCTTTTATTTTAAGGCAGGCTTGAAGGCTAAAAACTCTCTAGTGCGAAAACCCTTCACTACTTATTTATTTATTTTTAAAATGAGGACTTTGCTTCTCCTCCCAAATGTCTGAGCTGGGAGGAGTATAACAGTAGGAGAACAGGGCTGAGTCCGTTCTTATTAATATTAAATAGCTAAGTCTGTATCCTTGAGGCAAGTGGGGAGGAGGGAGAGGAGCTGCTGACATTGACAATGAATCCAAACAGGAGTTGCACTAGCGGTGTCCACCACGTTGCCTCTGCACCCGCCTGGCCTTCTGGGAGCTGTAGTTTTCATGGGAACTGTTACTCTGGCGAGCCAGGA